CCCCCCCCCGCAGCCCTCCACGACCTCACAGTCCCCAGGACGACGGACAGATCATCTTCGACGTGGACATGACTGGCAGGAGAGACAGCCAAGTAAGCGCCTCACGGGTTCTCCATCAGTCTGTTGCCATAGCAACCTTGTCTACTGGCGCTGAAGTGGTTTGTGTGTGTACACCTGAATGACAGCTGCTGCCCGCCTTTAGTTTCTATGGCGATGGCTGTTGCGCAGCTTATGTCATCACTTTCACTTTTCTTCCTCACTGGTTTTTTTTTTTTTTCCTCTTCTGATCTTTGTCAGGGCTGGAAAAAAAAAACACCTTGTTCACTTGTGGTTGTTTTAGACAAACCAACTTATTTGTCTTATTTGTCCTGAAAGAAAAGTTATCATTGACATAACGTCTGAGCCTCGGTTGCTAAATTAGGTGCGTGTGTTTCCTCAGTCAGAAGAGGAAGTCTTGGACAAGGAGAGGGACATGGACATCCTGATGAAGGACGCAGATTGGGTCGCTGATTGGTCCAGTCGACCGGAAAACATTCCCCCCAAGTAAGTTTCAGCTCGGTAAACAACATCCGCAAGTCTCCGTGGCAACTGAACGCACACACATCTGCTTGTTTGTCCTGTGGAAGCGGTCGGTCATTATGGCCATTATGGTAATAGAATCAAATAAAGCTGCTCTAACGCTCGTACATCTGGCAGGAGTTGAGACTTCTTGAAGAGTTTATGTTAATTAAATCTTTCAAAATATGGCTTTTATATCTCAAAAATCTGGAAAAATGTTTCCACATTTATCTGGTGTAGATCATTTTGTTCTTGTGATGTGTCTAAAATGTCTTGTGTGTGTCTATGTGCAGGGAGTTTCACTTCCGTCATCCTCGTCGCTCAGTAACGCTCAGCATGAGGAAGACCGGCGCCATGAAGAAAGGAGGCCTCTTCTCTGCAGAGTTCCTCAAAGTCTTCATCCCCTCGCTGCTGCTATCACACATCCTCGCTCTGGGGCTGGGGTAAGACACAAACATGGACAGTCACTATGACAGTAGTTTAGTTAAGTAATTTTCCAGTTACTTTCGAGCGATGAATCAGAGACGACACGGTGGTGCAGTGGTTAGCACTGTCGCCTCACGGCAAGAAGGTTCTCTGTTATAATCGTGGTGTGAGTGGGGTTTCTGTGTGGTTCAGGTTTGTGTTTCTTGGGTGGAACAGGGTGGACAATTAAATATTTCCCAGTTGTTGATAATCCCCAGCAGGGGGAGCTGTAGAGCTGCAGACACGTTGGCGGTGTCCCTCGCCTGACAAACTGTCAGAGCAGCTGCACGTCTGCACGTCTGCACACCTGCCGTCTCACAGCGACTCTCCCGGGAGCCGCCTCTGTTTGCGATAACACCGTTTACAATAATCCCGGCTCCTCAGTCAGATAATGTCACATCAGTGAAACACGAGACGGCAACATTTCCGCAGGGACGCAGTTTGCCAAGAGAGTCGTTAACAGACCTGTCATAACGTCCCTGCTGGCCATTCTCAAGTTTCTATGGTTACACAGTTAGTCAGGAAACCAGTCCGAAAGTCGGCGGTTTGGAAGTTTGCAGTTGTTTTCGGTGAATTTATTGAAAGGTGAAGACAGAATAATGAAAGTAACTTGAAGAGGAAATACCTCACATACCTTGTTTTTCCACAGGAGGATTAGATTTAAACCAGCGTGACTGTAAGCGTGTGTGTTTTCTTTCAGAGTCTACATTGGAAAGAGGTTGACCACGCCACCGGCCAGCTCCTTCTGAAGCTCCAACTGAAGAAAAGTGCCTGAGAAGTGGCCATGAGTTTGTTTTTTTTGGGGGGGGGGGAGAAAGCTTTGCTGTCTTGAAGAGAACGAACGCCCGTCTCTCCTCCCTCTGTCCCGCCTGCTCCCCCTCCTTGTCCCTGAGATATGACATGTTCCCTCCCTCCCCGCCCTTATTCGGCTGTTCTCTGACTCTGGATGCCCCCTCCCTCCTCTGTCTCCCCCTCCTTTATATCCTCCGACCATTTGTATAAGCTTTTCAATGAATGAATAAGATCATATTTCCAGTGATTGTGTTCAGATGTTTTTATCGGGTGGGTTTCCAGGGAGGGTTTAAATTCATTTAATCAAACTCTTCCCGTGACACACACTGACCCATCGATCATCTGACAACAAGGGAGGATTGTCCAGTTTTACAGCTGACCACAGATTGTGCCACAAGTCGCCCGACACTCGACCCCGAGAAAAGGGTTCGACCAGATTCAGAGTCGGCAAACTGAAGAGGTGATCATGCCTTTTTGAAAGTAGCCGTTTTGTTCATCTACTCAAGGTTTTATTGCCTTTTTTTGTATTTATTTCACAACAGCTGTGGTTTATTGAGAAGTTGTAATGAAATGGAGTTACCACAGTGGCCATCCCGAACCACGGGCGCTCATCAATTGCACTCGGGGGGGTAGTCCGAGGAGAGATTTATACAACGCTTCTTTTTTTTTTTTTTTTTTTTTCCTTTTCTGTGACGGAAATTAAAATAGATTTGATTCTGCAGACAAAGTGAGAAAAACTGGAATCCAGTGTGTCCCTCTCAGTGTGTACACTAACA